CTGCATCGCTTACAAATTGCTAAAAGGCAAGAAAACTCAATGAAATAAATATTGCGCAATTCCAATTGATTCTTAATTATCAAAGTTTTTAAAGGACAACAGAGATACTAAGGGTACGTAACATGCGTAGCATGACTCAAATAATTTTCTGTTTGTTTGTTTGCTATATGTTTTTCGCTATATGTTCTTCATACTATGACTAGATAACGCCCGCCCTATTACCCATGAGGGATAAAGGTAAGCTTCTGACAATTATAATAAACAATAATTGTAAGAGTAAACTACGAGCACTCCCTCATTTTTTCTCAGATTCAGCGGGCGAGCACGCTTCACGCGCGTGGGAATCAGCTCCGTGAGAACACGCGTGTTCTCGCGGGAGCTGATTTCCACCCACTTGCTCGATCTGAGAGAAATGAAGGACTGCTCGGGATCTATTAACGAACGTGTATGTGCGCTCACTCCGTTGCAATGACTCGTCTCCTTGGAAACATGTGGTTGCGTTTCAATGCATGACACGCTCATAGAAGTAACCGATCGCATTTAACTGTACGTTTCAACGGCACTAACTTCAGCAAACTTTAAATTACTTACGGGTTCCAATAGGATAAAGCTCCCCCACTGTATCGCAATAAACGAAGATTCTTTACTTTTCATACTGCGATCTCCCTTCACCGTTGAAGATTTGTCCTGCCACTTTACCTGGAACAGAGCATCTCACCTTTCCACTTCTCAAGCGAAGGCCGTACTTTTCTCGATGGCGAGAACGTACAGTGGATGACAAATGGGAACTTTCAGCTGTACATACTTCTAAAATTTAAGTCACATAAACCAATCAGAATTTATTTTAGTGCTTGCTCAGAGTAGAAGTCATACACATACCACTTAGAAGTGAAACTGCACATATACGGACGTAAGTTGAACCCTTAAAACGAATGCCCCGCTTTAATTTCCACGTCGTTCTCTATTTTTTCACCTGTAATTGCTTACATTGGTACGCCTCGCTATAATGCGCAGAACTAGATTGAGACTTGCTCGTTAATGAAAATAATATTATTTTTTTTCTCACCGTGTGCTTGCTCGATAACTTTCTTTAATGTCCCCGGAGGAATGGCGTCTTTTCTGCTTGTTTGAAGAAAGTAAAAGAGCGTCGTTGCAACTACTGTAGACAATTTCGATATGTGAGCTGAAAGCATTATGTCAAAAAACAACTGGAGAGTACGTTTTAAGCAATCAAACATTAAGAATTTTACCAATTTCAACGATGCTTTTCTGGGGGGGGGGAGGCCTAGAGATCATAGAAAATGATCGCCGTGAATACTGATAAACAATATGTAAGATGAAGATCAGCGACGTCGTTCTCTTTATTGCTAACTACTACTCGATAACTAACCGCCACTTTCGGTTAGGGTTTTTCAAATATGCTTTCCAACTCGGCTTTGAGAAGACCTTTTTTGCCATCTAGTTCGTTCGACGCCTGCATTTACTGAATTTTTACGAAATCTGTCAAGGCTGGCTGCAGTTCAGCTACAGAAAGTTTAAGTTTTAAAATTGAGGGAAATATATCGAGGGCCTCAATTTAACAAGACTTAAAGCTTCATCTTTAGTCAGAAAATTTGAAGAGCACATATAAATATAAAAAGTAAACTTAGTGTCAGTTAAAACGTTTCAATCTATACACATTCAAAATTTTTGCAAGATTTGGTCTGTACGTAATCTGGTTTGCGTCATCAGAGCAAGTTGCATAAGCATCTCACAAGAAGCTTTAGACTACTTCACAGCGAACCGATCCTTTCGTAGATTTCTTAGTTACGTTAGGGTTAATTTATCAAAATTTAAAGCGAAACTTAAACAAAATCTTAACGTTTTCGAGCTAAGATCGTAATAAATAACTATACACAAACGAGAGTGAATAGCGTTTAATTTCTTATAATATTAACGCATTACGGTTAAGAGGGTAGGGAAAATAACAAGTCAAGAAGCTTACCTCCGGAAAAAAAATAATAAAATGGTGAAAACAACTTTACTGAATTAGAGAAAAATAAATGCCATACAAAGGCTACGATTAATACAGCCCGACTACGAGATACATTTCACTTTAAAACTTCCTCATAATGCTTACTTGAAACAAACTAACCACAAAAGACACTTACTTGATTAAACAGTCTGAGAGAACTCGGGTCATAACTTTTAGAATGACATTTTAAACAGCATTTTATAATTTCATCTTCATTTCGCCCTCCTCCTGGTAGTAATCAATCGAGCAACTACCGGTTTGGATTTAATAACAATTAAATAATACTTTTCTTAATTAAGGAAGCTGAAAGAATAATTCAAACCCTTTTCTCTCCATAAAGTTTAGATACTGCTCTACCTTCTAAGCCTTTAAAGCAGTCTAGGAGTTATTTCTCTCCGCATTCTTCTAATAAGAAGGAGCATAGGGGGCTGAGAGAAATCAGCGCTCTATAAGAGACCATTTAATTTGAGAAATGATTGGAAGCAAGTGTAGGAAAGCTTAGAGCTGAAAATGGGACTCATTTCAGTTTTACCAAGATCGGGAGTTTTCTGTCTTGTGACCAATGTCACCTTGATCAAAAGGGTAGACTCAAGACTCCTATTTTAAAATGGATACTATCTTTATCATTTCCATTATTTTTGTTGTTATTTGCAATACTTGATATGATTCATATATTACTCACCTGTTTTTATTGGCCTCGGAAGATACGGAGAAAAACTCACAAAGGTTAAAAATGATTTGATCTTAAAGGGAAATTGATTGATGAAAACCGTCAAAAGCATCTATTTTTACCGTCAACCGTCAAAAACTCAAATCAATATCAATCATCAAACAATTTAAAGAACATCTCTATTTAAGCCGCTTGCTAACAACAGTTTTAGAAACTTTAGAATGGTATACTGGTCTTACAAAAAAATGCTCAGTCTATCTTTATTTTCACTGATTTTCACCTCTAACAGGCAGTTTGAATAAATATATTTTTTTTCTCAAGAGTGTGACGTTGAGAAAAAAACGTTACGTAACGTTATAACTTGTCATTGTACACGCCTCTACGCACCATTCCTACCTTTTGATAAAATCTCAACTGAGATCACCCTTGCTCGGGTGTCTTGAGTTTTCGCCATCATCCTAATGATTCCCTCGAGATCCAGGACGTTTTTGTCTTTGATCTATGTTAAGTATGCTAAAAGTAGGCGAAGGACTAATGTTGCAATCGAGTGAAAGAGAATGCTAAACGTGCGCCAAATACAAATGGAATAATCCTATGAAAGAGAATCCTAAAAGTGCTAACGTGAGATACTAACGTGAATATTAATCTCTATTAATATGAATTTAGACTTCGATAACTGAGAGGCCTGGACTGGGTACACACAGGGTGCAAATTAGTATTTTCTCTTTTCTTTAAGATTGAGCAATTTATTCAGCATATAAGTCATAAGACATGGGTAGAGCCAATGGCTATTCACTACGCTAACGCGTTTTAATTGCGAAATTACTTTAGTATTACCGCTTAGGTATCTGTGCACGCGTTATCAGTGATCTAGCAAGCAAGCAAGCAACAAGTTTATTTCTAGCTTTAAGGAAGTTTTAGTTTCCCTCCCACTCACACTATCGACAGTTTTGGCTGTTTCTTAATCTCATTTGTGTTATCTTTTAAGTAATGGTCTAGTGTGTTATTTACGTAGGACATATACATTTAATAAACTGTCTGGTCCCAAAACAAGCCTCTGTCTGTTGTGGTGTTTAGGTAACAATCCAATAAAAGAGAATCCTAAAAGTTCGTGATATACTGACGTAACAATCCAATGAAAGAGAATCTCAAAAGTGCGTCAGGTATGTACATAATCCTGTAAAAGAGAATCCTAAAAGTGATTGAGGTGCTAACGTAACAACCCAATAAAAGAAAATCCTAAAAGTGAGTGAGGTACTAACGAAACAACCCAATGAAAGAGAATCCTAAAAGTGCGTGAGATACCAACGTAACAATCGCATGAAAGAGAATCCTAAAAGTGTGTGGGATACTAACGTAACTCGAATGAAAGAGAATCCTAAAAAAAATGCACGAGATACTAACAGGCTAACGAGACAATTCAAAGAGTGAGAATATCAAAAGTGTGCGAGATAAATACGTAACAATCTAATGAAAGAGAATTCTAAAAATACGCAAGATACTAGCGTAACAATCCAATGAGAGAGAGTCCTGAAAGCCCGCGAGATATCAGCGTAACAATCTAATAAAAGGGAATTCTAAAAGTGTGTGAGGTACTGAGTCAGATGTAACAGTCCGATGTAATGTAGAATCCTAATGGGGCACGAGATAGATACCTTGAATTCGAATGAGAGTCTTAAAAGTGCTTGGGATATCATTGTAACAATCCAATGAAAGAAAGTCGTAAAAAAGCCCAAAATATTAACGTAGTAATCCAATGAAAGAGAGTTCCAAGAGTGCTTTAGTTATTAACGTAATAATCCGATGAAAGAAAATCCTAAAAGTGTGCGAGATACTGACGTAACATCCAATAGAAGAAAATCGTAAAAATGCGTAAGATATACATCCGTAACAGTCATTATTCATATACTGTAAAAAGACAGAACACCTTTATATTTAAGATGACTCATAGAAATATATTTTCCTAATAACCACCAAAGGCCCTGAAATTTTACTGTAAACCGTCAAACCTTAAAAATTAACCATCAACAAAAAATCGAAATGTAAGAACCGTCAACCGTCACAGCTACCGCCGCTCCCCCCTCCCTCGTATGGGTTATTCATTTCAGTATCTAACTCATAATTTTCTAAAGATGTTTATAACTTATTTCGATTCTGCATTTTCCCTTCCAGATTCCATTTACCATTCTCCAACAAAATGCCTATAATCTGTTTTCCATGACATTCCCAGGTCTTGCAACCTCACTGGCACGAGATTGGAAGTTTAATGTCATGCGCAAAGGCTCTTAATGCTAGCGGGATAATTTGCATACAGTTTCAAATGCGGAAATCCTTGATTGACGTTTGACCATCTAACTTTTTATCTTCAGCGTTAGGTACCTTTATGTCCTCGTGCTGTATTAGTCAATATGTGGTATATATTATATTCTTTCTAGTTTGACAATTTGAACTACTTCGTAGGATTTTCCTTGAAGTCAAGATCAAGTCAGGCGGATATTATCGAGCTCTCGCCGTCGCTAGTTACCGAGAAATGAGTCGAGTGGGTCACATAATTTTACAGATATCACGATATCAAATCCATCTGTTTCTATAATCAGACTTCAGCAAGGTACTAACACATAATTCAATTCTTTTGGTTATAAAGTGTGCCTTTAATAGCATAGTTTGTATCATTAAGTGGTTAATGGTCCGTGTTTGTGTAACTACGTATGCCGTTGTGTGATTTTAGTACGTGGTTCATGTGGTTCGTGAATGAAGGCAAATACTTAGAGTTCCATCATACGTTTGAAGATTGAAATAACACGCATAGAGCAGACACGAATTAAAAGGTACAACCAAGTTCAGATATCGACCGTTTGAACTAGAAAAGGAATAAACTGCGTTATCCTTAACGAGCACTCGAGAAGCTGCGCAGGGCAGGAATTTCGACGTCAGATTGGCCAGAATTCGAACTCTGAAATAAGTCTCTTTATTTGAAATCATTAACGTGTCTCTAGCCGAACCAAAAGTAACTATTTACAATTTTAGCCCAGTTCGAAGTCAATAAATGCACTCTCCGAAATTAAGAATTGAGCAGGAGAGCCAGATACAGCCAATACTCAATTCAGCAGCTCCTCGAGCAGAATGTCTGGCAGAATATTGTCGGGAATTATGTGCAATGCAGCCTGTAGCTGGCAAAATTGTACCATAAATCTGCAGTAAAAATAAAATGACAAGGTGTTTCAAAAATTTTGATAACACTCAACGAAAGCAGAAACGGTTTCATTCAAAAAAAAAATCCCTTGTTTCTGTTGTCATCAAATTTTCGAAGAATTCACTAGGCCCCTGTTACCACTCGGTATGTAATGCAAGTAACTTGAAGTGGTTCTCAATGAGGAGGGTCTCAAGAGTCTCCATAAGGTTAACTGATCGCCATAAAACAGCCAAAACATTTGGCTGTTAAGCGTAAAAATTGCCAGATTTTAACCGATAGTCGTGGAAAAAAATTTCTGGTGAATGGCCAAAATTTTAAACATGCAGTGTGATGCACGCATGGTGACTCGCTCCATAAACGGGTTCCTTTCGTATGTAAGATATCTCCTGTGCACAAACTTTTCCTTTTGAAGGTTAAGAGAAGCCTTTGAAAGACTATTAAGCTCATGATTCGTATTGAAATCGGGACCAACTCCGACGAATCCGGCCGATGAAGACGTAAGATCCAAGCCGTCTGTGATCATAAACTAATCTTATTATTTCCATGAGAGAATTAAACATACAATCGGCCCATTACGTTATAGTAAAAACACTGAGGGATCGAATATCTATTTCTACAATTGGTTCATATAAAAGAAACATTCCAAGGATTAGCTCGGTATGTCACATCACGCCCGTAAATGTACATTCAAGCGAGTACAGGTAGCGCACTCGCAATTATTTTGAAAACTTTTCCTATGCAGGGATGGGTTTCTGTGTGAAGATGAGTGCAAATTACGAATATTGTTGTCCGAAAACATTTGAAACCTTCAAAAGCGGAAGATTATATTCCCTTAATCCGAAGATTTAATACGAAACAGATGACCTGAAAGCAGGCAATTTTGTCCATAGATGCAACGGTTACACCAAAACAATAAAACTGCAATTTCAAGACAGCCGCGCTTGCAAGACGTAGCTTGCTTTTAGCGGCAACATAATTCATTCTCGTCTCTGTTAAACAGGTTCAAGTGACAAAACTAATGCTTGTTAAAATGGAAACTTTCGAAGTCGCAACCACTTCACTCATCAATCTGTGCATGATTGTCTTTGTTGAACTGTGCTGCCCGTGACAAAAACTTGCTGTCCCCAGAAAGGAACGTGCCATCCAGAATGAAGAATGCCCCTGTCTCAGGGACGATGAACCATTCCTTAAATGGGACTTCATCATCCTAATCATTGCCTTTACCACTATACTCGCAAGAATTATATTTTTGATCAGTTCTTCTTGTCAATTGTCTCCAAACTATGGCATGGATGATTTTGAAAAAAAAGGATTCTGACTCCCGCACAGGTCTTTAAGAAGTCGTGATTTCGCTAGTTACTTACATCTTGATGTGTTTACGACATTTATCAGATCTTGTAACAGCAATTTCTTGGTGAATAGTTCCAGATTGGCTTTCACTGTATTCCAGTTGATAATCAGTATCAAACACTTTTAATGCTGTTAGTAATTCTGACTGCATTAAATATGCCTGTCTGGCTAATTGTAACAAACTTGAAAAAAGCTGATGTCCAATATTCATTACTTGTATAAGATCATTTGCAGAGCTGATCCCTTGTGTGTTATTGTAAATCAAAGAACACAAACTCATTTCAACACATCGTTGTCCAGCATTCTGCCCCAAAACTAAATCGTTACCTTGACTATATGGAGCTACTATTGTTTTGTTAGGGTCAACATATGTTGGAGGGCCAGGTTTTTTTCTTCTTTTTTTATTTTTCTCTACTTAATTTATTGTTGCAATAATTTGCTACATGTATGGAGCCTCGTTCTTGCAAGAACACATCAGTTTGTGATAAGAAAACAATGTTAAATATCGACTGACACGCTCTTAAAGGGATCTCTCATAAAGTTCGCGGACCGACCCGTTCCGAAAACGCTCGACATCTTTTAGTGTGGGTCTACCGCGAACGATGAGTGCAAATTTTGTATGTGTTTTGAACGTACTATACACAGTCTCCGTGCTGATTTTGCACCACGAAAGCTTCTCTTCGTCCGCCATTACACCATGCCATGTGCTCATCAGTCAAAGCGTCGCGCATGCGTCAGAGTCAAAAGGTTGCGCATGCGTGATGAGGACTTGACTGCGATTTGCGACCGAACGAAAAAAAAAAAAGGAAGCCGGAATTTTAACTCGGGCGTTTCCTTTGGAAAGCCCGAGTAAAAATTATGCTTTCCTGGGAATATTAGAGCGTCAAATTATCTTTCAGGCTGGCAACCGTTTAGTACAGCTTGGAGCAAATTGAAGTTTGCTGGTATAAAATACGCTCTGTAAGATTATACTTACTGGTATTTGGATTTTCTATTTAAAGTTAAACATGATGCTTTTGACTCGTGCTGGCTGCCAATGAGGAGATTAATTATTAACCAATTACCACTCTCTAGATCTCCTTTTACTTTTTGAGGAGGAAACAACCGGTTTTTTGAAAAATTATCCTTGAGCTCTCCTGATTAAGTCTAGCTAATCAAGTTCGCCTTCTTAATCAGTACTATTCAAATGAGAGTTTCATGGTTTTTTTAATTGAGTTAACTTCTCTACCTTCGATTTCACGTTTAGTAATATCAAAATTTGAACTGACCAGATTTAAGTCCAACTCCAAAAAGTTTTAAAGGTGGATGTATGCACAATCCAAATCTGCGACCCCTCGAAATGTGTCCTTAGTTTGAACAATGTTTCCATCATTTTCCATCTCCTTTGGGAAGTGCTTGAACTTAACCCTTCTTTACATAGCTCACGACACTCTGTCTCTCTTGACCCTCTATCTTGGGCAACTGAGTAGGAATCCTTTTTTTGTCTTAAAGTGATCATGCAACTATAAAAAAATCTTTTAAATGTCGTAAAGTTTTAAATTTTGTTTCATTTTCGATTCATATCCGCAGGCTTTGTGAAATGTCTATATTTAAAGGCACAAAGAATGGTAAAGGTGGAAGTTTGACCGAGAAACTGATCTTCTACACAGGATCAGAATATGATTACTTTAGTCATGACTCCCTCAGAGAGAAAATGAGCGAACATAAAGGGATTAACCACTCCGAGAAACTACAAAAAAAGTGGCTTTTTAAAAGACCTCTGAGTGAATGGCAACGTACCCAGCTTGTTTGGAACCATCAGTTTGTCGTGGTAGATTCACCTGGTTGGTATTGGTCCCTTGAGAGAGAAGGGGAAACGCTTCTCCTTCAAAGGAACGTAAAGTATACCGTCGTTAAAGATTGTGAAGAAGGATGCCCCAGATACGTTCCAGTAGTCGAAATAAAACATGGTTATTGCAAAGGAACAATGAAAGATTTGAGTTTCTTTATCGCAAGGGAGAGCTAAAGACTAATTACGATTGGGTGTTCAACAATTGTAAAACGTTCGCAAATAGTGTGTTCAATGAATTTGTGGTAGAGGGTACGGTCGAAAGAGCATTCAATTTTTTGTGAACAGTGACACTTCAAATGAAGAGCTACTTCAAAGTCATATAGGAATTATATTCTATAGCTATTTAATTGAACTATTTTTTTAACGTCAATTAGAACCAATAGTCTGGTCTCTTAAAGATCGCAGGTAACCGAGAAACCACCTCTCGACGATCGCTGCAATCGTTTCAGGTGAGATTTCTTACGCATCTGAAGCTTCGGGTGAATTTTTAAAGATATTTTGGAAACTAACGATCAAGAATTTCATAGCTTTGTCCGTTTTAAGACTAACCTTTAGAGTAGTTCCTAGTCGTAACTTGTTCATGTTTTTTGTTCACTTCGTAACTTGTTAATATTTCTGTGTAAATAATCATCAAAATATAACCGACTGTGCTCATCCATGGTTTTCACCTCTGCTGCCTCCAGGCGTAGCCTTCTTCGCTTGCCTCGTTGTTCACGATTTTTATTCATCTGTTCATGAAACACCACTGACTCATCTCTTCCTTTGGGTTCCGCCCCGCTCAAGCTCTTAGTATTTGGTTTTCTGAAGATGTGCTCAATCAAACCTAACTTGCGCCCCCTAATCACTTTCGTTGTGATTCCGACGTTGTCGTAACTGAAAGTACGCGCATTATACAAGGTTTCCGAAAAGCAATTATTACTCAACAAAGCACAGCAAACTTCTTTCACTTTCCATGTTATTTTTTTCAATACTAATAAACACTTTTTGAGATTTTTTGGAAAGAAATGTAGAATCAGCAATTCGTTTTTGTCCTCACCGTTGTGGCGACCATAGAGTTTAAATTCTCTTTAAATGAAAGCATAAGCGGGAAGGATGTCAATTTTCGAGTTGTTCGCAATACTTTGGTGCCGACTACGTCGTTTGAGCTGCATCAAATAAACGGCAGTAAACAGGACGGCTGCCAAGGCCATTACCTTTGGACGTGATATAGATTGTGGCAGCCTCAAAGTAGTAGCTTCACTTCGCACATGATGCAAAGAGAAAACCGCTGTGCTAAATGCGTCAGTCTTCAAGTATCGGAAGTAGAGGTGAAGCTTTCAACAGAACACCTGTCGCTAAACGCCACCAACACAGGCTCAAAAACTGTTCTTTCAAGGTTTCGCTTACGCCATTTCGCTTGTGAAAACTTTTACGCAGAAAATATGTACGCCGTTAAATGTTATGCAAGTCTACAGAAGGTAATGAATCAATCTCTCTTTTTCTTAGCGTATAAAGGTGAACTTATGCAAGTCCAAGTGAGAATAGCTTGCATTTTGAGAAATGGTGAGGGTCACTCGGGATGATGGGAAACAGCAGCCTATCGGTATACAATACCACGAGCCAAACTGGGATGAAAACAAACGAGTGCCTCACATCTCATTTCCAATTTTATTTGGAAATAACATATAAATAGTTTGACAGAAAAAATGTTTACATCAGTTTCCCATAACAGTTGTACTGAGGGCTTACATTCGATAAAGCACTATACAAGAATTAGAAGGCCGATATTCGATACAAATTATACATGAATTAGAATCAGTGTAACGGCAATATTAACAATTTGTGTTAAATACCACCAAGAGAATATGTTCACTAGACATCACTGAAATAGAAAGTTTTCGCCGAGACACGCCAATTTCGTCATGTGCATGTTGTCTGAAACCCTTCTGAAACACTGCAATGACGCGCTATCCATGAGTTTCATATGTTATCAAACCCTTGATTGTGATAAAGCATCAAACTTTAGTGAACGCATTTCTTAATTTGAATGACAACATGTGATTGACTGACAACATGTGAAAAATTCGTGAATATTTCCATTTCCTTTTATTCCTGAGGCGCGATTGAGAAGCTATTTAAAAAACACGTGCATCAGGTTTCATCAGGGTTTCCAAACACTCGAAAACAATAAAAGCACTTGGCCTGCGGCCTTGTGCTTTCATCAGTTTTCTCGTGTTTGAAAACCTTGATGAAACCCTCGCACTCGTTTTTGAAATAGTACCTCTCTTTTTGATGCCACAATATTTTTAAAACGTAAACTATACTTATATTTCCTGAAATGTAGCCTTGAAAGAGGAAGGAAATGAGCAATTTACCAGATTAAGTCGACCACTTCATTCACCCTTTTAAGCCACTTAGTACTCGATGAGAATGAATTCTCACCGCTGGTGAGACACAGACAGACGTGGCGTGTCTGTATTCTAATTTAGACAAAGGGAACGTAGATACTGAGATTCTTAGACTCCAATCCACACCTTACAGCTCACTTCTTACATCCTCGCGTGACAACAGCTGCTTAACAGCATTGGGCGTTGGTCAATGTTTTGTTTTCATTATCAGACTGTTACAATGGTCTGCAAATTTTCTATCAACGGTAAAAATACAGAACCAATGTCAGGATGGTTTTAGGGTTACTTGACCTTAACTACCGATGATGGCTTGCTCCGAGGGAAGGATAATTAATCCTTTCTTGCTTGCTCAGGGTAGAAGTCATACACATACCACTTAAAAGTGAAACTGCACATATACGGACCTGAGTTGAACCCTTAAAACGAGTGCCCCGCTTTCATTTCCACGTCATTTTCTATTTTCTCATCTGTGATCACTTACATTGGTACGCCTCACAACAATGCACAGAACTAGATCGTGACTCGCTCGTTAAGAAAAAAAATTTTTTTTCTCACCGTATGCTTGCTTCGATGTCCTCGGAGGAGTAGCTCCTTTCCGGTATTTTTTTAGAAAGTGAAAGAAAATGTGAGATTGAATTTCAATCGTTCCAGCTGCTGCAATCAATTTTTATGATGCAAGCTGAAAGCATTGTGGCAAAAAACAACCGGAGAGTACGGTTTTCAGTTAATTTATCAAGTCCTCCAACTTACTGATTTTTGGAATGTAGCTTTTGCGTCAATAGAAAAACGTGTCTGTATTCAAGAAAGCGAACTAAATATTAAGAATGCAATTTTCATTAATTTAAACGACGTTTTCTTTTTCTGGTGTAAAGATCCTAGAAAATGACCGCCGTGGATAGTGTACGTTAGTGTACAATATGTACGATGAAGATCGGCGACGTCGTTCTTTTTATTACCGACCACTTCTTGATGACTACCCGCCACTTTCGGTTGGGGTTTTCCAAATACGTTTTTTAACTCGGCTTTGAGAAGACCTCTATTGCCGCCTTGTTCGTCTGACGCCTGCATTTGCAAAAATGCAATAACGGATGATTAAATTTTACAAAATCTGATCAGACTTTGGACGTTGTTTTCATGGTAGGTGACGGAATGTAAGTTGTTTGGCTTGTGCGTTGTGAGTAAAGGAGCGGAAAAAACACTTTTTAACTTAGAAATGATACAAAAAGTTAAATGCGGATCTCTCATATCCCGATAAATCTCGACCCTGGTCGACGAAGTTCTCGTGAAGGCCACAAACCTGCCCACTTTTCAAATGAGCGCGAAGTTTCTGGTTAATATCATTCTTTGTGCACTACCCATTGATTTCATAACATCATTTGCAAGAAAGCCCAAACGCTGTGATTGGTACAAGATATCCAAATGCTGTGATATGATTGGTACGAGATACATACCCTAAAGCGGCAATCTGATTGGTGCGTGATACAAACCCTTAAGCGGCAATGTGATTGGTGGAGATACATACCCTTATGCGGCAATATGATTGGTGCGAGGTACATACCCCGAGTGCAGCGATCTGATTGGTGCGAGATACATTCCTTAAATGCTGTGATTGGTCCAAAGTAACTAAATGCTGTGATATGATTGGTGCGAGATACATACCCTAATGCGGCAATCTAATTGGTGCGAGATGCATATCCTTATGTAGCGATCTGATTGGAGCAAGATACATACCCAAATTCGGTAATCTGATCGGTGCGAGCAAATAAATGACTAACATTTTACGACACCGGAAGTGTTTCCACACGGAAGTCAGTTCTGTCGCTACCCACTTTTACTCGCGACTAGAAGTTAAGGACGTGCTCATAAATGTATTTTTGTGGTATATCAAAACTTTTATCGATAAACAGCAGAATTTGGCTCCATTTCAGAAAATCGTTTAGTTCTTAAGAGCGAGTGTTACCAATGGTCAAACAATTGGTGGCAACAGCTGAAAATTCAATTTCGCCCATATTTCAAAGTTAGGCCGACCTTAGAGAGAGAAACAAACCACTGCATGCTTCGATTGGCTGAATATCGATTCATTTCCTAGAAAATCGATAATAACAGAATTCCGCCAAAATGCCGCTTTTTAAGCTCAAAATTGCAGGTGAATCTCGGAACGTCGCGTCACAAAATAAAAAACTTGAACTGATGAAAAGTATGTGTTGACAGTAATTTAAGCAATTCTCAACCATTTACTCACACAATCTAATTGAATTTATCTAACCTACTTCAGACTAGTTTAAAAACAGGTCAAAAGTTACCCGTTATTTAACTATGTGCTACACAAAATAATTGACTGAAAATCTGGCTTTTGCAACATGAAGTGTAGTTCTTTTCGATCTCCAAAGAATTTTTAGGGAAAACGATTCAGCGCCACTTAATCAAATTTTAAAGTTGGATAAAATGCACCGATTCGACAGTGCCATCCGACAGACAGTGCCATCAGCCGAAAATGAACACATTCACACGCAAACTCAATTGTTTGGCATTTTACGTCCAATCCACAGCTTATTTAACATAATATCCTCTCACCTTCCATGTTGCTGTTTTGAAGAAGAGAGCTATAATCCTGAAATTGTTGCATCGTTCAAGTAAAAGCAAAATAACTTGGCTGAATAGTCAACGCTTTCGGGGTTTTTGATTTGAAGTTTCTATATTCCCATTTCGTTGAAAAGGAGGCTGTAATTATGTCACGTGAGAGATCTTTGCTGAAATAATGTCAGTATTCAACCGAACCGCGAAACAAACGTTGTCGTTCATGAAAGCGTTAATTGAATTGTGGTAAACCTTGAGGCCGGCAAACCGTGGTACAATTCAGTCTCATTGCTATTTCAGTTAACACTTTCATGAACGACAACGAATAAATGCAATATCGGCAGGAAAAAAGAGGACAAACTTACCGAAAAGCTACGAATTGGCTCTGCTTTACTTTTTTTTTTTTTTTTTTTTTTTAACATTTTTTTTTTATTTTCACTTAAAGCACAAATACTAGAGTAATACAAACAAATACAAAGTTAATTACACTAACGCTTACGCTACTCACTAACACTAATTACGAAATACTGCATTACATTACATTACATTCACAGTCAGCTAGATTTAATTTATGTTGTGGTTATATAATAATATAAACCTAATTTGTACAAATACTTCTACATCAAATTCCTTTTTTGGTAGAACGACTGTATATACAACTGCGTCTATAACTGTTAATACCCGATACTCAT